AAGATTTTCCTGGGTTAAAAAGTAGTCATATGCCAGAAAATACTGTATTTATAAATAAATAGCTAGGAATAAATAAATACATGATCTTGCAAAGAATCTCATCAGTCAAGGGTTTCCTGACACTTAAAAAACATATTTTTCAACTGTTTTGGAAATGCTTCTGAATATTCTTTCCATCACTATCCTGATGTGTACTCAGAACCTCCCTTCTTGTAGTTTGAGTCCCATGTAACCTATCTTTTTCAAGCATAGGTAAGAATCATAAATTATCTGAAAAGTGTGCCTGTTGAGCTTGTTTATTGGTCTCCTTTGACCCTATGCAATAAGGATAGGGGTGTTGGAAATGTGGTCACTGCAGATGTTGTTGGACTCAATCTCTGATCAGCCCTGACCGCTGTCCATGATGCCTGAGGCTGATGGGAGTTACAATCCAGCATTATTTGGTAGATCACAGATCCCTAACCCTGTTCTGTAATATAGAATTTCTCTCTGCTATTTATGACACTTGAACCAGCTTGGTGTAGTGGTTTGACTGTTGGACTAGAACATTGGGAAACCAGGGTTTGAATCCCCAGTCAGCAGAAGAAATTCATGAGGAAAGCCACACTCTCTCAACCTCAGAGAAAGGCAAAGGCAAACACAATGAACAAATTCTTCCAAGAAAACTCTGTGATGGGTTTGCCCAGGGGTAGGCAACCTTTCCCCTTTAAGGGCCGAGGGACTTCAGCTCCCAGAAGCCTCAGCCATGTTGGCCAATAGTCCCATGTTGGCCAATAGCTCCTGGGATTCTGGGAGCTGAAGTCCCTCGGCCCTTAAAGGGGAAAGGTTGCCTACCCCTGGGTTTGCCTTAGGGTCACTGTAAGCCAGAGGTGAGATGCAAGCACACAACAACAAAATTTATGAAAACTATGGAAATTAGAATGCCATTGGCTAATATCCTGCATCTCTTCAGCATTCTTTAAATATTTGCCAGCTGAGTTACACTGTGCAAACCTTACACTAAATACCAATATAATTCAACATACATAGATCAATGGTCAACATGCATGGCTAACAAAGAACTGTGTTATTGCAAAGCACTATGGGTCCCAAATGTGTAATTCTGCTCATGCCAATAATATCAGATAGATGCAACCATTGTGCATTCTCTACCTGTTATTGTTCTATGTGTTCAAGTCATTTCTGACTTATGGCAACCCTAGCATGGGGTTCTCTAAGGAAGATTTATTCAGAAAGGGGTTGTCATGGCATTCCTCTGAAGCTGACAGAGTATGACTTGCCAAAGGTCACCTAATGGGTTTCCATTATCAAGCTGGGATTTGAACCCTGATCTCCTGTAGTCCTAGTCCAATATTCAAACCACTGCACCATCCTGGCTCCCCACCACGATGGCACAACTTATGCCTGTGTTTATCACTGTCAGCTATTATATGTTCTCTCTTCGATTCTAGACAATTCTATTAAGTGGGGTAAGCTCCATTGAACTCAATGGGTCTTACAGCTGGCAAACATGCACGAGACTTCACTATTTATGTCTCACTGCATTGTAATGACATCTTTAGCTCCAATTTAACAAATCAGCCCATTTTTATACAAAGTATTAGCAGAACTAATATCACCAATAGAAGCAAGGAATGGATTTCATTTTTCTTGTACAAACTCTGGATTGACTTTTAAAATGGAGACAGAGAAATGTTAATATATACAGCAGAAGGAGTTTTAAATAAATATCTGTCATACAGAGTTAGACCATTGTCTCCCTCATGTTAATTATGGAGCAATCTGAAGATGACAAGGGGAAGAATATTTATCACAGGTTGAAAAGTCAATTATTTGGACTGTATCTCACAAAGCCACGTGGGCACTGCATTCAGAATCCATCTTCTCAGACCAGGAATTGAAGAATTTATGAATAATTGTGCTCCTTTCTCTCCCTCCCCTTCCCCCTTCTTTCCATGTGCGCACTGATTTAATTGGCAATTTTGATCAACTGATAAGAAGTATCATGAAGTATTAGTAAAGGGATTTTACAGAGGACAAAATAACACTTAGTGTTAAACAAAGACCAATACATCCTGAAGTCCTTCTTCTAAGATAAGCTCCTGTCAAGGGAAGGCAAGCTACATTCATTGCAAAAACAAAAATGCCTTCTGCTTGAAACCTCCCTATTTTATTCTATTAAGTGGGGTAAGCTCCACTGAACTCAATGGGTCTTACAGCTGGCAAACATGCATGAGACTTCACTATTTATGGTAGAGCAACACCATGAAGGAAGGATCAAGCTGAGATTGAGACATTTGATGCATGAAGCAGCATAAGAAACATTCCCCCCTCTTTCCAAAGTCAAGGCCGGTAGTATCCTAAGGTACGTTAGGACTTGAAGTGCAAAATCTCACTAGTGTCTCTCCCTCCCTCTTGTTGGTAGTAAAAATACACCTAGGGTGCCTCTACATGGTAGAAATAATTTAATTTGATAGCACTTTTAAGTGCTGTAACTTCATCCTAGGGAATCATGGGATTTGTAGATTTACAAGGTCTTTAGTGCTGGTGCATCATCAAATTACAAATCCAAGGATTCAGTGGGATGCAGCCATGGCAGTCAAAGTGGTGTCAAATTGCATTATTTCTACAGTGTAGATGCACCCTCATAAGCCTAAAACTAATGGTGGAGAAGTGGTCATCTGCTAGAGCAGGGCCAAGAATAATGCAATCTGTGGGTCATGTAAACTTCCAAGTCCAGTTTGAGCACTCTCTACTCAAGTTAACTGCATTTAAAAAATAAAAAGTATAAGTGGATTTTATAAATATAAAAGTGTTGCATATGCCCCCTAGGGCAATCTGGATCACCATCATCAGCACCCTGACATCTGTTTAAGCCCCAAAGAAACTTTTTCTCAACTGGGGCTGCTGCCACACTTCAGAAACAATGGAGTTAGACACCACTTTGTCATGGCTCCATTCTATGTAATCCTGGGATTTATATTTTGTTGTGGCACTAGAGCTCCCTGACAAAAAAGACTAAATATTTCAGAAAACTACAAATTCCAGAATTCCATAGCATCTTGAAACACCCTTTTTTCACTCAATATGAGAAAATTAGTGTTGTTTACATTCTTATTCCCTTGTGACATATCACATCTTTCATTATGTTGTGCATACCTTGCCTCTAGATGCACCTAGTGTAGTAAAAAAAAAAAAAGGAACATCATTGGTAAAGATACTTAAAGCTTAGTAGGGAAAAGAAGAGAACTTGCAATAGGGCTACTATGTTTAGAGGTAGCTCCATGTACATGCAGTTCTGTAATAAATAAGACAGATTCTTCAGTGTCTTGTTATTTGGCTATTGAAAAGGCCCCTAGTTATACCTGCAAATTTATGCTGGATGACACTTGTCTTGCTTGCCTGGAAACGTTATCATAATTTATTGCCATTTAACTACTGAATAGTTTGCTCTGTAATATATGCACAGCCAGGGATAGCTGTCTTGGCCATCAAAAAGCCCACATGGAGATCTAAAGGCATCATACCTCAAAGAACAGTTGACATATGGGTGGAATGAGTTATATTTCATCCATTAATAAAGCAGGACATTGAATGTCAGGTGTGCTTGAGAGTGATGGGGTGAAGGCATCTTGGAAAGATTTTCAAGCCCACATTATTTATATGGCCTAGATAGCTCACTGCCATGTTGAAGGAGACTCTTCTCCTCCTGCCCCTCACAGCCTCACTACTCAATAGCTGCTACTCTAACTCAGTGAGAGTAACTTTGGTAATAGGGAGTAACCACCTCACATGATCTCCCCAGTATCTGAAGAGTTCTGATACTACCTTTCAGGTACATGCAGCATCCACACTTAAAACATCAGAAAGCAGGTACAGGTTGAGTCATGGAAACTAGTGGCTTCCATGTGAGGATTATGTTTAGTCCACAAAGGATTTTATTTCTGGCTTTAACGGTTCAAGGTGCTGAAGCTATTTTTTTTTTTTAAGCCACCAGGAACCACTGACTTCAGTCAAAAGCACATTGGTGATTATCACAGAATATTGGACATAGAGGGCATATAATCCAATCTCCTTCTTACTGAAAAAGTTAATCATCCATGACAGATGTCTGGTCAATACATGTATGAAGACCTCCAGCACACAAGAACCCACTATGCCTCTAGGTAATCAGAAACATTTTTTGTGTTCTTTAAGAATCAAAATATAGCCAACATGGTGTAGTGGTCTGAGTATTGGACACAGAAAATACATTGACCCCAATCAGGCAAGCTGTCTTGACACATTGTGACAACCTGTCAAGGAATCACTGGCCCCTGCAGAAGAACAAGAAAAGGAACACTTCTTGTTCCTATTGAGAGTTGCACAACATGCCCAAAATGGTTGTGCAAAACTAGTGTTACTTTCCTTTTGTGAAGTAACACACACACACACACACACACACACACACACACACAAAGACATGGGCATTGGGTACACACTGCAAGGGTAGCTGATTGATCAAAACAATACAAACTCATCCAGTACTCTGAAAAGTGGAGTAACACATTTGTAGTAAGGTGGTAACAATCCTGGGCCAGAATCTTGTTGATGACAAATGTGTATGTAGACCTGGGAATCCATGCATGATTGTCTTGCTGTGGATGTTGAAGAAGAAGGTATTCCAGATCTTCTTGCATAATGTGTCCTCTCCTCAGCAACTCCCAAGAAACTGGAGAATATTTCCATGGTTATTTCCAATGTGGCACAATTAAATTTCCTATGTGGCATGTAGACAGCACCCAGCTGCAATCTGCAATAGAGAGAAAAGACCTGCTGTCATCCTTCTAAATCTCCAATCACACAGTGATAGTCATAGATCAAGAGCCTACATTGTTTCAGTGTAGAATAATTATATGCTCAAAGTTAGACAAGCCCTATACTGAATACCAACATAATGTATTGTTGGTGCATGTGGGACCTGACGTCCATGCATGCAGAAGTGAGGCTACTAAGAAACTAATTTCACAGGACACTCTGGATGTGGTACAGGGTGAAGAAATCCTCTTTCCATCAAAGAGTTCTCTCTAAGAGACTTTAGTCTTAGTTGCAATATTTACAATATCTTACAATATCTGACAAAATGCTCTGCCACCATCTGACAACAACTACTCAACCAAATGTACAGTCCCAAAGCCTCTCTTATATATACACTCTCTGCCTGAGAGTTTAGCCCAACCCCCAACTGATATGTCACATAGGTTCCTGTCACATGTGTACCATGTTGTTGTTGTTGTTAACTGCCCTGAAGTCAATCTCGATCCATGGCAACCCTATGGATGAGACATCTCCAAGACTCTCTGTCTTCCACTGCTCTGCTTAATTCCTGCAGCCCCTTAATACCTGTGACCTCCTTAATAGAGTCTATCCATCTGGCCTGTGGCCTTCCTCTCTTCCTATTTCCCTCCACCTTTCCTAGAATTATTGTCTTTTCTAATGAGTCTTCTCTTCTCATTATTTGTCTGAAGTACGATAGCCTCAGGTTGGTCGTCTTGACTTCCAGGGAGGTTTCTGGCTTGATCAGCTCTAGGACCCATTTGTTTCTCTCTTTGGCTGTCTATGAGAACCTCAACACTCTTCTCCAGCACCACATCTCAAAGGAGTTGCTTTTATTCCTATCATCTTTCTTAACTGTCCAGCTCTCACATCCATACATGGTAATAGGGAATACAATGGCTTGTATGATTCTAACTTTTGTACTGAGTTGTATATCTTTGCATTTTAGGATCTTTTCTAGTTCTTTCATACCACCCTCCCCATTCTTAGTCATCTTCTGATTTCCTAACTGCAGTCCCCATTTCTATCAATGTTTGATCCCAGGTATAAGAATTTTTTTTACTATTTCTATTTCTTCATTTTCTAGGTTGAGCTTGTGAAGGTCCTCGGTATTCATTATTTTTGTTTTCTTTATGTTCAACATAAACCTGCCTTAGCACTTTGTTGATCTTTCTTAGTAGATGTTCGAGGTTTGTGAGGTTTTCTGCTAGTACTATGGTGTCATCTGCATATCTTAGATTTGGGATATTCCTTCCTCCTATTTTCACTCCTCTTTCCTATGTGTCCAAGCCTGCTTTTCTTATAATATGTTCTGCATACAAGTTGAACAGATAGGGCAAAAGTATGCAACCTTGTCTGACTCCTTTGCCAATTGGGAACCATTCTGTTTCTCTGTGTTGTGTTCTGATAGTAGCTTCTTGTCCTGAGTACAGATTCCTTATCAGAACTATCAGATG